AAATTGTGAAAGTGAAAAAATTTTGTGCAAACATGAAAAAAAATGTCAACCTTATCCGCATGCTTTTTTTTTGTTGAATGTTTTCTGTTTTCTCCTTTAATTTCCCCCTAGTGGAAACAGTCAAATAAGCGCTCCCTCAAAGCGTTAAATTTTTTCATGCGCAAATAAACGATTCCGTCGTCGTTGATGATGGCGGTTGGCAGTTTTTCTGCGTAGCGCCAACGTTTTTTTTTTTGTGTTTCTGCATTTTTGTCTAAAGTTTCCTCACAAATAAATCCGGCACGGAAGTGCTGACGACCACGCAAAGCAACACAGCCGCGCGCAAAGTGGACAGTTAGACAGAAAGGCATTGTGGGTCAAGTGGCACTTGTCTGGCACCTAGTTTCCAGCTAGCTTTGCCTACACTTTTCACACGCTCTAATGGCATTATTTGGACGGGCAGAGGAGTGCACAATTTCTAGAAATTTAGCAAATTTTGTATAAATGCAAAATGTGGCAAAGAGTACAGACAAGTTTGACAGGTAGAAAGCAAATGAAGAGCGCCAAGGAGGAAATATTTAAATAATTTTAAAGAAAAATTTTGATATTTACTCCTTTGCAGTATGCGTTGCAACATCAACTGGTTAAATATAAATACCTTTGAAATGGTAGTGTTAGAAGACGGCGATTTCTTGGAGAAAAATGTGCCTGAAAGCTTTAGCTACTTTGCACTCCTGCGGGCATACAGTGACGGGAAAATAAATAGGGACGCGAAATTTTAATCGGTTTTGGCTATTTTTCTCACTAAATATCTAACAAAACCCCATGTAGGAAAGAATTTCAATCTTTGTGCAAAGATTATGCCGAATTTCCACTAGACATTGATGTGACAAAAAATATTTGCCGTTTAAAAAATGCCAACTAGAAACGAACTTAATTTTTAACGTGATGACACGAATATATTTTAATACCCAACTTTGTCATTAAAATTGTTTGCCATTTAATGCCTGGTAGAAATCCAGCACTAGAAAAAATCGACAAAGTTTCTCCAAAAGTTTTGGTATGCAGTTTAATAGTCCATTAAATTTTAGTATAATAAGGTGCAAGTTTGAAGCAGCTTGTAGCTTACCGTTGATTTTTGGCATTTTTTTCTTTTTGCTGAGGTGTCACGTATTTTCTTCAATTCAAAGTATTTTCGAAAAGCCAGCAAAAAAATTTCCAAAAATCAGGGATAAGTCCAAACTACTTCAAAATTGCATTTTATGGGCAACATAACTGCATACCAAATTTTGTTTTCTAAAAATCCTGATTAAAATGTTTAAATTTTTTATGGAACTTTCGAATTTTCCTAAATTGTGTACAAAGTTTGAAATTCGGACTTACATGGCTTTGGTTAGAAAGTACGAAAAATTGCCAAAAATGTATGAATGATTTTTTTAATTCTGAAAATAGTTTGAAATTTGGATGAGCATTGGCTGAAATTCGTAGAATTTTTATAAATCCTGTACAAAGCTTTAAATTTAACCTAAGATTGTTCTTGTTAAATATGTTGTCAGCTCTACTTTACCAAAACTTATTAAAATTTAGCGTCCGCATTTGTTTGCCCTCCGCCGTATATCAATGAAAACGCGACTTTTATCCAATTTTATCAACCGGGTCTTATAGGCTATCGGTTGAAAATTCTCTGGATAAAACCCTTACTGCATATTGCGCCAGACTGAACTTCTTATTTAGAAATTTTCTGTGAGCTATGAATACATATTTTTACAAACAAAAAAACAACTATTTTTAGCCCTCTTCCTTAATAGTGATGGCCGAAACACTTCTCGTCAAAAATAAGTTTTATCTATGGTAATCAAAGATTGCTTAGTGAAAACCATCTTAATTTCCTACTGAATTTAACAATTTCTATAGTAGGAGCTTTTAAT